TTCATTGCCGAGTGCTAATGCGATTAGCTCTGCCGCCACTTCCTTCAAGTTTTCTCCTGCCGTTTCAGCCACCCCTTGAAACCTGAGAACTTTGTTCGCTTTTTCCATCTGTAGGTTCAATAGTATTTCTTTCTTGAAGATCTTGCCTTTGCTCCAACAGACCAACTTTTTTCTTCATCTTTTTAGTGTCGTGTGCTGTCTCTTTAAGCCTTTCATCAGTTTGAGTCGACTTTTTTATAAGCTCAGCAATCTGCTGCTGCTGCTTTGCGATACTCTGGTTCGAAGCAGCCATCAATTGGTTAAGACCATCGAGCCTCTCGTTTATGGGCTGGAGCAGCTCCTTTAGCATGGAGAAAACATCTCGTTCCTCTACTCTCGGACTTTGACCACCTCTCGCAACTTTCGATCCTCTCCCACGGACGCCAGCCATTTTCAGCTTTGTTTATACTGAAGAGAGCTCTTTTCACTCTTCTTCAGCAAGTGCAAATTTATCAGCAAAAAGAGCTAAGTCTTTGGCACACTTGAGTGCTTTTCGTTTCTCTCCCCCCCCCCTCTCTTTAAGACACAGTTCGGTTTGTTTACATCTGGGAATCACTCCCGGCGCCGCTATAGGTGGTGGGGGGGTCGGAACTCACTTTTAGCACTTATTCGCTCGTCTTGTTCTCCGGTTCATTGACGGTCTGATCACAGACACCTCTTAGTCACGCTTCATTCGCTCACCTTCTTGCTTGTTCCAGTCGGCATCAGCTATGCTCGGTAAAAACCGAGCCTCTCAGGGGGTGGACCGAATGGGGCAAAAGGAGCGCCTCAATTCTCCGGCCTCAGCCATCGAAGAGGTCGCCCCCCAAGCGCCCCCGGCTTGGAGCCTCTCTTTCTGAGGCTCACCTGGGGGTGCCACTTGAGGTGGCACTCCTCCAACACCCCTGGAGCGCGGAATGCCTCCCCTGCTTCAGGGGAGAGCCTCCGCCATTGCTGAAGCCACAGACCGGAAGTCCCCAAACTACTCCGTTTTTATTCAGAACTCACGTTCATTGTTGGCCAGTTTATCTGACCATGCTCGTTTTACGCTATTCCGCTCGATCTCCGGCACTTGTCCCGGTCAGTCCAGCTTATGCCCGAAGGCCGCTCAGCAACT